ATGAATAAAGATGATTATTAGGCAAATATTTTATTCTTTCAATTCTTAATTTAAAATAATTTCAAACATAAAAGTTGCAGTAATAAAAAAAGAATACAGAGAAACCCATATAATTTTTATATTACCTTATTTGCTTTATAATATGCCCTCTCTCACTAGATATTTATTTATCAATCCAAAGATAGATAGATATATAGATAGATAGATAGATAGATAGATAGATAGATAGATAGATAGATAGATAGAAGATATATATGTAGTAGGAGCATATATACAGGATATAGTATTGATATATATAGGAGCAGAGAAGGAGAGAAGGGGAGGGCACTGTTTTCTGAGCCATTTGAGAATAAGTTGTATACATCAAGTTTTGTTTTGTTTTTAGATCTCTAAAAAAACACCTCATAACTGCTCCTCTTCGTGGAAATCTGTTGTAAATCACGAAAGATTTATATAATCTGAAGAGAAACCAGAGTATTATCAGGCACACATTTTATTCTGAAGATAAAAATAAGAACATTTGTCTGTCTCCCAACTTTATAAAGTTTTAAATGAACAATGAAAGAACATATGTTATTATCATATCTGCTAAGCTGAACATTCTTTTAAAAATGTCAGGTCGTTTTTTTCTGATAGAACATGAACCTGGGGCCTCATCAGATTTGATTCTACTGAAATGTATTTCTTAGAGGAAAAACAGCCTAGGTGTCTGACATAAGTCTGTAGTCAGCTATAATGGTTAATGCGCAACCTCCCTTCAAAAATGTGTTTTACAAGCAGAATGTTGACATGATTTTAATTATAGCACTCAAGTGAGCACTGATATAATTTTTAATATTCCTCCATGGTAACGTTTCCATTGTTCTGGTGGAGGAAAATGCTCTGGTCCCGAGTCCCTAGTTTCTGGTGCTTTTGGATTTTATAGGGATGTTGTCTTTTTTGAGAATGCTGTCTTTCTGAACAGAAAATTTTCATGTGGTCACAAAGAAGAGAATATGACTCTAAAATCTGGTGCATTTATTTATTAACATGAATTGTTCTCTCTGTGGCAGTCATGATTCTGGTTTAATATGTCACTATCTGGACCTTGCGTGACTCACCTTACAGAGATGAGCTTCTGTGTAGTTTAACCTCTGCTCACTGGCTCATGGGGACCTTTTCATATTCATCATCTGAAGAAGCTGTGTGTGTGATAATAAAATGGTATATTGCTAAAGTTTTATGCTTCTGTTTATTAGAATTTAAGGCATTATAAAAATAATCTATAAAATAGTCCATGCAACTTCCCTTGGAGGGCGTATATTAGAAGATGGAGAGTATGCTTCGTACCTTTTAGAAACAAACAAACAAACAAACAAATCCTATCTAGGCATCATCATCCCTCATTCTACTAAAGCGCACTTCTGTGGCTTCCCACTCCTTGTTGCCAAAGAGTTCTTTGACATGCCTGGCGTTTTGGTGGAGGTTCAGGAATGCCAGGTCTCTGCTGGTTTGCTCCTGTGGCCTTCCTTTATCCCTTTTTGAAATCGTGGAATGCATGCTGCCTTATGGGCACCGAGGGGAGACTGGTGCCTGGTTTATCTCAGTGGCATGACAGGACTGGCAAGGAGATAGCCATGTGTGCTCCTGCCACAGGGAGGGCTCAATGTGCCCTACAACAAAGCTACTGCAACCAAGTTTTAAGTAGGAAAACGATTACAGCTACCCCTGGCTGAGAGGCGGAATAGGCTGTCGGCAAAAATATCAGTCTCTGCTTACTCAGCTCTGGCAGAGAAGTTCTGTGAAATAGTTTTTGCTTTCAGACAATGCTGTGAGCACTTTATCTTTTGTTAGTGTTGGTTAAAAACTCATCTGATGAGAACTGCTTTGGTAAAAGGCATTTATAGATACAGTTGACACGTGAACATTGTGGGGCTTAGGGGCGCTGACCTCCCATGCAGTTGAAAATCCACATATACATTTCGATGCCCCATAACTTACTTACAGTTTTCCCTTAGTACCTATGGAGGATTGGTTCCAGGTACCCCCAAGGATGCCAAAAACTACAAATTCTCATGTCCCTTACATAAAATGGCATTAAACAATGCATACAATCAGCCCTCCACATCCATGAATTCCCAACCGTGGATCAAAAGCCCTGTCTTGAGATGCTTGAACCAAATGTACTTTAAAGTTTCTTCTTGCCCTAGTATCTTATTATTTATTTGAGGGCTTAAAAGACTACAGTGGTTATTGCATTGCCAAGAATCTCAAAGAGATGTGGCAGTACCAACTATCTGAGGGAGTAAAACAAGAATTGTGTGTACACTGTACAGTGTCATGTGGAGTTGAGAGCTTATGAGGACTTTATATAGGGAAGATACAAAGATGAGATAATAAATTAGGAAATTGAAGCCTAGTGACAGATAAAGAAAAATATATAAGAATTGATATGATTTGTTCCAGAGAAAGAGCCTGAGAATATCCTAGGAATTTTCAGTGTATGCAACAAGTATTTATAGCCAACTACGTACCAGCCACTGTTCTCATTGAGGATCTGAGGATGAGATGAGTTGAGGTACAAATAAGCCGTAGCAAATGCTTCCTTAGGAAGCAACATGTCACCACTAAGATAAGATAAACTAGATTGCAGGGTGCTTGGTGATGCCCCGTGGTCCTTGGAGGTGACAGTGCCCTGTGTTTCAGATGGCTGAGGAAACATCTTGCCGAATGGTCATCTTTCCTAAGTACTCTTTTTATTGTGTCCTCCCAGACTGAATCCTTTATTTATTTCCCATTCTTGCTGGCTTTGTCACCAAAAAGAGGGAGATAAGACTTGCACTGAATGCTCCATTTCCCTCCCAGTCGATATATGCTAGAGTTTAGTGTAATGGGGATGTCATCACACCAGGATAAGTAAGGTAGAATAGGATTTCAACCTTCCCTGAGAACATAACCATCAAAATACACTACAAAGCGAACTTTGGATCCTAGGATGCCCCAATGATGAATCAGCCCTCTGCTTATGGTAGTCTCTAAACCCCTTAAATGGGCTCCAGCATTCCGTCTGCCACCTTGCCTTGCCTGTAATTCAGCATGGCAGGGAATAGGGAGTGCTAGGTGGGGTTCACAGGGAAAAAGTGATTTTGACGTAGCCCATTTTTTAAAATTTTTTGACAGTGCTTTCATTACTTGGATAAATAAGAGTTATCCATGGTTTTAGTGTGTTTTTTTTTCTCTTTTACACTTTCAAGAAAGTAAAAACTGTACAATAACACTATTAAATTTATTTATCTATTATATTTATTATATGTACTTATCTATTGTCTATGACTTGCCTATTATATTTATTTATCTATTTTCTGTGACTTGCCTTGTGCCCTCAGAATCAGCTGTTGAGTTATAGACCTTAATAGAACCAAGGTCTCAAAATATGCTGCCTTGCCCATAGTAAGAACTTACTCACATCTTACTATGTAGGAAATATGCTGTCTTACCCATAATAATAAGTTGTAAGTATCCTGTATCTTTGCTAAAGCATCCTACTTAGACATCATTGATTTAAACCTTCTTAAATTGGAAACAACATACTTAATTTACTCTAGTAAAGCAGCAATTTGCTATTTCATGAATGGGAGGGAAACTATCTAAAACTTTCCTGTTCTAAGGGTGGTCTGCGGCCCAGAGCATACACATCAACCGGAAGCAGTTAGAAAGGTAGACTCCCGACCCCCCCACCCCATCTATTGAATTCGAATTTGCATTTTGACCAGAAACCCCAGGTAATTCTTGCACATTGTGCTACGTTGTTCATAATACAAAGATAATCTCCTTTATATCCCGTTTCTGGGGGAAAGGCTCTAACAAATTGCCAATATCTTACATGGGCAAATAACAACTGTCTTGAAGATGAAAACTAATTGACAAAAGAAAATTAAATTGAGCCAAAACCGGTTTGGCTCAATGGATAGAGCGTCGGCTTGGGGACTGAAGGGATCCGGGTTCGATTCCTGTCAAGGGCATGTACCTTGGTTGCGGGCATATCCCCAGTAGTGGGTGTGCAAGAGGCAGCTGATAGATGACTTTCTCTCATCGATGTTTCTAACTTTCTCTCTCCCTTCCTCTCTGTACAAAATCAATAAAATATATATTTTTTTAAAAAGAAAATTAAATTGATAGATTTCAATCTTCCTTTTTCTTCTCTTGCTTCCTGACTGATATACTAACCAAAGGGGCAGGGGGAAAAGTCCTTTTCCTTTCTAAATCATTCTTCTACTAGCGTTATATTGATTTTCTCTCAAGTGTACCCAGTGGTCTCGGATGATCACATATTTTCTTACATTACTTACATTGATACAGCCCCTTGACTCCTGGGCTGATATATATTGCTTGAGCTGTGATGACACCACTCACCAGTGGCATTTCTTGGGGGTGGGGTGTACCAGGCCTCTTATGCATGAAATGTAAGGGGACAGGCTGTCTCCCAGCAGTATTTTTATTCTTTGAAAAGTGATTGCCAGGTATTGCCCGGCTGGTGTGGCTCAGTGGTTGAACATCGACCTATGAACCAGGAGATCATGTTCGATTGCCAGTCAGGGCACATGCCGGGGCTGCAGGCTCGGTCCCAGTGGGAGACAGCCAATCAGTGATGCTCTCTCATCATTGACATTTCCATCTCTCCCTTTCCTTCGTCCCTTCCTTTCTGGAATCACTAAAAATATTTTCTAAAGTAAAATAAAAAACGATTATTGTTCACTCCAAGTGATAGCCTAAGGTCCCCATCACTGTTGTTTAACATTGTTTCTAGCGCCTACAACAGTGTCTTGAGGTCTTTCATGTTCTGTTTTGTGCTGATGCAGGGAGGTGGGAATTCTCAACGGGTATAATATCAAAATACGATTTGTAAGGAAAAAAAAATGTCGAGTGTCTGAAAGAATACCCAGTGGCCTTCCCTAGGCCCTTGCTTGGGCTCTCTTTTTCACCTTTGTATTGCCCTCTCCCCTCCCCTCCCTCTGTTTCAGCTAGCTGTGAGGTGGCTGGAACACAACTGCCACTACCAGCACATGGACGAGCTCCTGCAGTACATCCGCTTTGGCCTGATGGACGTGGACACCCTCCACACAGTTGCCCTGTCCCACCCCCTGGTCCAGGCCAGTGAGACCGCCACGGCTCTGGTGAACGAGGCCCTGGAATACCACCAGAGCATCTACGCGCAGCCCGTGTGGCAGACGCGCAGGACCAAGCCCCGGTTCCAGTCGGACACCCTGTACATCATCGGCGGGAAGAAGCGCGAGGTGTGCAAGGTCAAGGAGCTGCGGTACTTCAACCCCGTGGACCAGGAGAACGCTCTCATCGCTGCCATCGCCAACTGGAGCGAGCTGGCGCCCATGCCCGTGGGAAGGAGCCACCACTGCGTGGCGGTCATGGGGGACTTCCTGTTCGTGGCGGGAGGGGAGGCGGAGCACGCCACGGGCCGGACGTGTGCCGTGAGGACCGCCTGCCGCTACGACCCCCGCAGTAACTCCTGGGCCGAGATAGCCCCCATGAAGAACTGCCGGGAGCACTTCGTGCTGGGCGCCATGCAGGAATACCTCTACGCGGTCGGGGGCAGGAACGAGCTGCGCCAGGTGCTGCCCACCGTGGAGAGATACTGTCCCAAGAAGAACAAGTGGACGTTCGTGCAGTCCTTCGACAGGTCCCTCTCCTGTCACGCTGGCTACGTGGCGGATGGTCTTCTCTGGATATCGGGTAAGAAAATACCTCCTGTGTGGGATGTGTCAAAAAACACTTCCATGGTGGGATCCATTTAACAGTCAAGCTTTTTGGTGGGGGTGGCCCATGTGTCATTGAATGAATGCGCCAGAACTGCCTTTTTTTTTTTTTTTTTTTGGCTAATTAACATTCATTGATTGAGTACCGACTCTATGCAGAACTAGGTCTGACTTTCTGAGTGATTAGCGGAGGAAAAATTCAAGATGAAATTAATAGCCCATCACATCTTTATTTATTTATTTATTTTTTTAACCAAACCTTCTGTTGTTTAAATTGTCAGCTTTTGATATTCATGGGTTGTATTGCACACCTTTTTTTTTTTTTATATTTTATTGACTTTTTACAGAGAGGAAGAGAGAGGGATAGAGAGTTAGAAACATCGACGAGAGAGAATCATCGATCAGCTGCCTTTTGCACACCTTCTACTGGGGATGTGCCCGCAACCAAAGTACATGCCCTTGACCAGAATTGAACCTGGGACCTTTCAGTCCTCAGGCCGATGCTCTATCCACTGAGCCAAACCGGTTTCAGCTGTGTTGCACACCTTTGCTTTTACCTTTACCCTGGGCTACCTGACTTTGAGTCTTTCATCAAAGACAGGGCAGGAAAAATAAAAGCCCAATAAACCCATTTTGATGAGTATAGCAATGGGTATCTGGGTAAGAGGATGACTGAGGGATTGAAACTATTGGCTAAAATAGTGTTTTATATTACCTGTGTAGTGGCTTGTGTCATCCTAATCCTTCATTCCTAATTAGTCTTCATTCTTTCTGATCATTTAGGAGGCATTATTATTTTAGTTTCCTTTTTTCATCATTTTAAAAAAGCCTTTTGATTATAAAAAAAAAAAAAATAGAGAGGCTAGTATAATGAACTTCATGTACCCATAACCTTAGCTCCAGCAATTATGCACTGGCTTTTTCCACTCTTGTTTCATCCACACCCACATTCTTCTTCAAACTCCCCAGGGCTGCCTTTTCACTTGTGCAGAAGGATTCTGCGGGGCGTGTATAATAACATCCCATTATCAACCTGTGTTTCCAGTTCTATTATTGAAAAGACCTAAAATGTTCTCCTTTGAAATCCTTGCCTACTGGGGAAGAAAGTTATATCTTCTCTTAGTTGGAGGGTACTCAAGCACTTAAGCCCTGACTTGATTTTAAACAACTCAAATAGAACTTGTTGAATTTCTATGTCAAGGTCAAAAAGGAAAATCAAATACTCTAAGTCCTCAATAAATGACATCAATAGGATCTGTGAGTTTAAGCAAAATGACATATAAGGAAATCTATTTTACCATAGGTGATTGATATAAACAAGAGTTAAGTTCCTGTGGCATCTCATCAAAATTCTAACAAAATGACATTGAAGGAAATGGTGTTATTTGAGGACCTGCTGTACTAAGAGTAATTCTGAGATGTTTGCAGGTAGAAGAAACACTCGTTTTTAAGTACACCTGTGAATGCGTCTCAGCTTCCTCCAACAATCTTCCCTGGTTGTTTAACATCTGCTCTGACAGCATTCTCCCTTGCATTTAAACTAAATCTGTTTGGATTCTGCCCATGTTTTCCTTCCGCTGTTCTCAGTAACGAAGGAGAAAGCCCAGTCTTGCTTTTTTGTGGGCAATGCCTTCGTTATTTTCCACTTACCAATTTTCTTTGAAGAACCTAGCTCATGTCAGGGCTTAAGTGCTTGGTAATAAATGAATGAAGCTGAGATTATGAATAAAGAAGAGGATAGTGAGGTGGACCCAACAATTACTGCTCCTACATATCAAACAAATATTATATATAAGTGTACATGTTAGCATATATAGATATATTTCAATAAAAGCCTCATCTGGTGATTTGTTCTTTTCTCTTTAAGTATAAATAGCTAAGAAAATAATTACCAGGGCTATAACCCTCTGCTGAAGAAACTTCAAAGTTGGCTATAAGTAAGTCTTTGGTATAGAAAGAACAGATCTCTACTTGACTTGGATAACAAAGCAATGATGAATTTATGAACTTAATGTAATTTATATTTTCTTTCAGTTTATATTCCTTCTATTGACTCATTTAGTTTTCATATGTTGTTAATGTACTGTATTACTACATTAACAACATCTTCTGAATTTTGCATGAATTTCTCACAAATAGTTTTATAAATATTCTTTTTTTTTTTACTACAAAACTATAGCTTTTTTAAAAGATGCTGGAGTTTTCCTTACATAGTTTTAAGGATATAACTACTTACTTAGTACTTTCTTTAGTGGAGCCTTAAAAAGGCCATGAAGCTTACCTTAGACAGGCTAGATCTATTACCTGGTATCAAGCTGACTTCTACTTCAATACGAGTCCATATATTTCCTTTTCCATTATATTAAATGCATCAACTTATTACAGCCCTTATTGCTATATCACTTTGTTTTTCCCTACTGTAAAAATAAATACATTTTCTTTGTTCTTTTTTTTTTTTTTTGGCACTAATGTACACTGCCTGAGTTAACCATACTTAATGAAAACAATCACAATTTTCTCAGGTTTGTTTCTCCCTACTGTGTACTTGAGATGACAAACCCACTTTCCTGTGTATAGTGCAGTACTTTTAATTAGAAAGAAGGGGAAATCACTAGTGACATTTCTAAGTAGGCTGCCTCTTTCTTCAAGCCCAGCTTATAATGAATTAATTGTGGATCTAACCATGCATAGGGAGTGCGGGCAATAAGATTTGCCAATGGGCCCCTTTTTAAAAAGACAGATATATTTCACCCTGACTATCACTGATTTTGAAGGGCTACCCTGATTTATTGGAGCAGATGAAACTATTTGAGGCTATTCCTTATCCTTTACTAAATAATCAATTATTTCCAATTTAATTGATGGGGGATTGGGTCATTGACATTCTTCTGGCATTTTGAACACTTTGCCTGAGGTAGAGGTAGTAAGGATTACAGTATGTGGATTTAGGCCTTATTTTTGTGCCAGATAACACAAAATGAATCTTCTTCGGAGACTCATAATTTTCAGGGTGCCCTATTTCTCCTCACACCCCCTTCCCTTCCTCTGTTCATTTTGGGGTCAGGACACCTTGAACACCCTCTCATGGTTTTTAAAGTGAGACAAGGAGAGATGAATTCAGAAAATCAGACTGTATGGATATGCCCATTAGCATTCGATTTAGAATATTAGAGATAGTCATATTTTACAAGGCTCCTGTAATATTTGACATTGCGACCCAATTCACAAATGCTGCACATCATTTCTACTTGAAATTCACAATACCGAAATAAAATAAGAATTAAATATCCTCCAGTTGTGCTTTGAAAAGTCTGCTCTTTATTGTAAGGTATCGCCTGTGAAGTACTAAAAAGATTCTTTTGTGTGTGTGTGAGTGAAAGTTAATCCTGAATTCATCTTGCAGAACAACTTAACTTTTCATTTTTGTCAAAAAGCATCAGGATAATGGGAAGGTAATGACAAAATCAGTGCTTTAAAACTATAAAAATAAGACAAATGCTACTGCATTTACCCAAATGCAATGTTTCGTGCTGTCTTGTTCCTTTGGTGAATGCTACATTCTTATTAAGTCTAATGCTGGCTCATAGATAAATAAAACTAATTCAACAAACATACTTCCGGTCCTCTAGGAGCTGACAGTCAAAGATTTTTGCAGATATTTCATTAATGAGAGAACAGTTGTTAAAGCTTCTTTAACTCTCTAGAACATATGTTTAGTTTTATTTTGAGTAAATGTAGGTGAAGCTTGCATTGCCCCATTTTAAATAACTTTAATTTATTCAAACCTACTAAAGGGTCTTTAGCTCTTCTAGTGTTCATTAAAATGAGAACAATGTAAATTTTCCTTAACATTATTTTAACCGCCATAGCATTAGCTTTAGTCTGTGCAAATACTGTGCTTGCATCTAAAAAATTGTATATAAAATATTGGGAACTCACAGATGGCATGGCAGAGGCTGGATTGTGGTGCACTGAGGTCACAGACTAAGGTCACACACATGAAACTTGCTCCACTTCTTACCGACCAGGAGATGCTGAGCAGGGTTCCTAGCTCATTAGGTCTTATTCGGGCTAGTGCTGAAGGGACAAAGGAGAGGAAGACATAGGTCTTATGCTGGAGCTCTTAGTATAGCAGAGGGAACAGACTTTTAAAAAAGAATTTTAGTTTAGCAGATGCTCTGTGTGAGGGTAGAAGCCTTTCCTAGGTACAGAAATAGTGCAAAGCAGGGAGAAATTAGTGCAAAGGGCATGAGAGAGTTCGAAAAATTTTGTAGCACCTTTCGCCTAACTAGGCCTCTGGTCCATTGGCTACTTCCTACTTACTCATGAGCCCTCCTGTCCTCATGCTGGGGCTTCATGGTCCAATCATTTCCGTCATTCTCTTGCACCCTGGCAAGCACAGATTCAACGGTCCGCTTTGTCTGTGTCTGTGTCTGTGGCTGGGCAGCAAGCCCCGTGGGAGGAACCGAGTAACAGGAGCTCCCCAAGACCTCTCTCCACTCTCCTCCTCACTTCCCGTAGAAACCCTCCCCTCAGACTCAGAGAGGGGGTCTCGCCTTCTGTTTCTCAGAGCAAATGTAAGCGAGGAGGTTCTCACCGCAAATCTAGTGAGGTACACAGAGGTGGTGGGGAGTGTGAGGAGACAGATGGGCAAGAGGTGCTCTGGAAAGGGGACCAGGGCGGGAGGTTGGGAAACACTATTGGGGAGGATGCAGAGGAGGGGAATGAAGGATGTTACAGAAGAGTGGGTGAGTGGCATCCACGACTGCAGGTCCGAAATACCTCCTCCGAGTTTCTCAGTCAGGAGCTACTTGGTAATTTCAGTGAAAGCCATGTCAGGGGAGTGGAGAATGTTGAAACTAAAATGCAATGCTAGGAATTGGAGGCTAGAATGCCATAAAAGGAAAGTGAGGAAGTGAAAACTGCATTCTATAATAGCTTCCACTGCATTCTAGCTTCCACTTTAGACAAAACTTC